CCCCCGACGGCTACTAAACTCTCGACCTGCTGGCCACTTGTTTTAAAATTACATCGCCCCCGCCCCTCCTCCTTCCAGCCACAACCGTGCTCGAGCCACGTGGCTCGTCCTGTGGGTGTCTTATGATGTGCGGCGTGCACTCGACGGGAGCCGCCCGGCCCCTCTGCAGTATAGGGAGGCAACCTCGGTGGGAGGCGACGCGGCGAAGGCAACCCCGGCAACCTTGTCCCACTTGCACGCGATGCCTGCTTGCCTGCCTGCCTGAGCGTCTCTATGCATTAGGCAGCGAGTTTCCTGCGGGAAACCAGTATACTCATTTGTGTCTATGACCAGACAATTTCGCTCCCAGCCTTACAAACTTTTCGTATACAGACTGTTTTAGAAATTAATTTATGTATAAATGCGCTCGTGAGCTGAGATTTGTGAGTCGTGGAAGTACTCGCGGCGCCAGAGGAACGGACCCGCCGGGCTAGTGTAGGTCCAGCTCCCCCGCCCTCCTCCTCTCCCCTTACCGCGAAGCCGTCCAATTGCATCGGTCAAGGCGAGCCTGTCGGTGTGTCCCACCTGCTCTAGGAGGGCTTAACTCCTCTCCTCGCTGCCGATGCCCCCAACCCCCTCCCTCCCTCCCTCTTCCTCGGTCGGTGCGATGTTGCGCCATACTTGTCTCGTTTGTGCACGACGAGTGAACTCTTCTTGTTATTTCCGTTCGTTGCGTTATGTTGGCACGAAAACGGCTGTTGTTATAGACGCTGAAAGTGAGGTTCCCCCACCACTTTACCTCCCCTCGCCAGCCGCTCCCCCCCTCCGTGTCGCTTAACTATTTTCATTCCAGCGCCTGCGTTTCTAAAGTACGACGTAAGGATTTACCATTAATAAATGCTGCGCGTTCAGCTGCTTTTAGGAGCCACAGGTACGGTCTTGAAATATGCTCAGGAATAGTTTCTGAGCCAGTTAAAATATGGACAATCATGGGGCCACCTATAGTTCGAATGACCCGCGAAAATAAGCGACACGGCGGGGGGGTGAAGTAGCTCGAGCGGGTGGGTGGGGTAGGTGGTGGGGGAACCTCACTTTCAGCGTCTATGGCGGATATTCCTGGATCCTTTAGCAGTAGTACTGTACAGCTGGCCCGCCGGCAGTTCGTTCAACTCGCTGACCTGGATGGCTCTGGGCGGTGCTGCGCGCGCGTGTGTGTGTGTGTTCGCGCGGTGGGCTTCGTGACGACCGCTCTCGAGCTCGTTCACGACACGAACCCCCTCTTTTCTGCCGCTTTCAACATGTATGGCGGTAAGCCCTTTCAGCGGGCCTGGCATTTCGTCCTATATGAAATGTCGCCTGGGCTGCGACTCTGCCTGGCCGAGGTACTCACTCGTTGGTCGAGTGAATCACGGTTGAGTCACCCACCAGCCGGCCGCGACTGGCCGCGCCGCGCCGCGCCGGCCCGGCGTCGGTCGGAAGCGCCGCCACGCCGTCGCTCCCCCGCGGGCCGCCTACCTACCGGTGCCTACCGGGCCGACCGGCGGCGGGTCGAGCCGGCGACGCCAGACAGACGCCCACCCTTCCTTCCCCTCCTGCCTCGCGCCGTGCTTGCTTGTGCCTCGTGCTGCCAGCCTGTGCCAGCCGGCCCGTTTTTAGTTTCTGTCCTTTGCTTCCATCCTGCCCCCTCCCGGCACCGGCACCACGCTTCGGCAGTCGCCCCCCTTGGTGCGCGCCACGCCAAGCCACGCCGCGACTCACGTTGCGTGTGGTGGCCGCGTCTCGAAAATCTTCACGTCTCGGACATCCACGATGCCAACTCGGAGACTGTAGCCGGCAGCTCAAAATGCGCGTCGTGTCGGATCTGTCAAACTCTCGACGGCGAGGTGCCGGCCGGTCGGCGAGGCCCAGGACGACCTCGCCTGCCTTGTGCCCGAGGAGGAGGAGGAGGAGGAGGAGGGGGCCACTGGGGCCGCTGCCAACAAGTTTGGCCGGGCTGGCCCTCTGCCGGGGGGCCTCGCGTGGCCAGGAAGGGTCATATTGAGAAGGTCGTCGGTTCGGACTCCTTACGGGCAGTGTTTGGCTCGGCTTCTTAATGTGGGTTCGCGTTGCTTGTGCAGCTCACGGTTTTCTTTCTCCATTGCACAGAATATGAGTACCAATGACCAATAAATGAACTTTCGTGCATGTTGTTTCAGGTGGACATAGAGATCAATGGGGAGCCGCTGGACATCCACATGAAGCTGGGGGACTCCGGCGAGGCCTTCTTCGTGGAGGAGCTGGACGAGCTGAGCCGCGATGTGCCGCCGCACCTGGCGTGCTCGCCCATCCCCACCGAGGGCGGCTTCCCCATCCACTACCACCACGACACGGAGCTGGACCCGCTGGGCACGCTCGGCCCGCTAGCGGCCGCGGCCGCGGCGCAGGGGCTCACCGAGGAGTGGTCCCGCCGCCGGTGCAACTCTGAGGTGAGCAGCCATGCCGTACCGCACTGCAGGCGAGCGGGAGGGTTGCCTACTCGCTCGCCGTAAGGCGGAAAGGGTCAGAAACGATGGACAAACGCTTACATGCGGCGTCAAATTACTGTCGCCCACCTGATGTTCACCGTTTCGGACATGTGGTAGGGAACTCTCTCCTTGTGATGGCTCCTCCCGCCTAAATGATTGCTCTCTTTCGCAGGTCGTCAAACGCACTCCCAAGGAGACGCCCACGCAGAAGTTCGCCCAGGACGACATCGACGAGCACAAGCCCAGCAACGATCTCCCCTACGAGTGGCCGCACGAGTACGGCCCCGCGACCGAGTTCGCCAGCGACGCCTACCCCGTCATGCCGCCGCCGCCGGCGCCCGCCTCCTCTGCGACCACGGCCGCGGCGAGCTCCGTGCCCAAAACGTTCAAGGCGGAGACTGTGAGCCCCTCCGAGAGCAGCGAGCGTACGCGCAAGCTGAGCGCCGTCTCCGGGGAGTTCAGGCCCATCACGTCCGACTCGGACTCGCCGTCCGGCGGGAGCAGGCCGGCGCCGCAGGCGGCGACCGGGCCAGGGGCCGCGGAGGTGGTGACGACGCCAGAGGACGGCCCGGAGGAGGCCTCCAAGGTGCCTGGCAAGCGGCGCCGGAGGAAGAGGAGCGTCATGAAGAAGAAGGGCGGCCTCCAGCGCAAGAACAGCGAGGCGGGCGAGGCCTCGGACACGAGCGCCTCGGTGGTTTGGGAGTCGGCCTGCAGCGTGCTGTCTGCCGCTGGCAAGCAGGGCGCCGAGGTGGCGGTCTTCACCATGGACGACGTTGACGGACTCCAGGTGCGTTTTTCTGATTGTCCACCAAAATCCTTTCTCTAAAATATTCCAACTTAAGAAACATTACCTCAGAGACCATGAATGTGTCTCTAGGACGAGCCAGTCTCGTAATGTGCCGCCTTTCTTACAGAGAACGTCGCCTTCACCGAGCAGTTCAACAGCTGCTGACACTATGTCTGCTGACACTCCTTCATCCCCTTCTGACCTAAGCAAAGCGGCAGCCAGCCTAGCTGCTGAAATTTCTAGAGACCTATCGAAATTGCAAGATTCGTCTACTGATTTCCACTTCTTTAGTGACACAGAAATTCTACCAGGAAACAATAGGTAAGAGCTATGTAGTGGATAGGATCTTGACAGGAAAGAAATGTAACATACTAACCCCAATTTAGATTTTTCGAACAATTTTTGAAAACTATGTCTTTACTAGCAGGAAGTCTGAGGCTATTTTAAGCCGCACTACTCGGTCTGCAAGTGATGGGATTTTGGCAACCAAGCCTGTGACTAAACCAATTAATGTTCCGCTTGTACTTCCTGTGCCCATACCTTCATCTCTACTAAAATTTTTGTAAATAACTATTTTATCAAACTTTTTAGTAGTTTGACTTTACTGCCTGCCTAGATTTAATTTGATCTCTTTCTCATTATTTCTACTGAATTTGAGATTTGCATGCATTACCATATTACTTTATGCCTCAAAATTAATGAAAAGGGGAATTTGTTCAGGTTTTTTGTTGTTCAGTAATTATTCTTAGTTAGTGCATCTGAATGTTGCTTGCTACATCAAATAATGTCATATTATTATTATCTTGTGAGGGTGGGTTGTATGAAAATGGTATTTATATTGATTTATTTCATTTCATAATGGTTGGTACTTGATGATGTGGTGGTGCCTTTTTACTCTGCCAGTTCTTGATGAAGGAATTGTCTTCCTTGCACTGTATAAAATTGTTGCATCTTGGCCTCTCTTGTTATGATTCTATAAAGTAATTTGTTGCTTAAAAAAAAAAAACAATCCTATTGGAGGGCTGAGTTTTACTTCCTTGCAGCAATGCAAAGCCTGTCGATGTTGTTGATATAGTATCTGCCTGTGTCCTTCTGCCTTCTGCTGACTGCGCACTCCTCTGCAAACCCAACTAACTGTCTTATTCTTTCTTCTAGCCCGGACGAGGAAGACTCGCGGCCTTGTTCCCCAGTGCAGTCGGACACCGAGTTTGAGACCCACAAGCGGCCCGGTAGCGCGGGTGGCGGACACTCCGCCGATCCGTCTTCAGGGGTCACCCAGTCTTGGAGGTGGGGTGAGCTGCCCTCGCCTCCTCCAAAGGCAACGGGAACCGGGGCTGGCTCACCGGATCGTGCTGACAACCCCAGCTCGTACGACGAGGCGACTAAACAACAGGACAGTGGTAAGTAAGATAGTAAGAGGATGCAACAAAAATGCTTTGTATTCGAAAGAATTTGCTTTATAAATGGTTGAACCAGGAACCAGAGCAAAGTTCGTACTACCCTATCTAAATTAAATTCAATTTTGATATCTTATCCTAAAACCTAGTAACCAATTAAAAGCAAATTTTTTCTCCTATGAAACCTTTTGTTTCTTGCCTCATAATAACATCAAGAGGTTTAGGTTGGCTGTATTTTTATAATAATTAGTCTAGGGGATTGTTAAGTTGTTCATTAGAGGGTGGAAAACACTGGCTTCTCTTACTTCTGTGGTCATTTCAGATTGTGGGTGGGGACCTTAGCGGTTGGTGTACATTTCATTGTAGATTTTAAACCCCAGGGCTTGTCTGAGTATTTTGATAACTTTATGAGACATTATTAAAACATCAAATCAAAATTATTGTTGAAAATAATTGTTGGTTATTAGGTAAAAAATTGAAATGAAAATTTTCTATCTAGGTACAGTATTTAGGTTTTCGGCTTTGGTGAAAATATCAGCAAGTAGTGTTAGTGGATATTAGTCAACTGTGTATTTAAACTGTTTGTAGATTTAGTTTCTAGACTAGGAAATAACCAAGGCATACTGGCACTCGATTTGCATTTTAAGTAAAACATATTGTGGAATGGGGTTGATGGAAGCATTGAGAACTTTCTTAATACTTCTTGAATAGCATGTTTTCTGTGGTTCTGGATGTTTTTTTGTTTTTGTTTAATGTTCCAATGGGCTGAATGCTTATTGTCAACTTTTTTCAAATCATTCTTTGTTTTAACGAAAAAGCATCATTGAATGTCATCCTTATCCTTGAATGAATTGTATGATGATCCTAATGGCGGTGTCTTCCTGAAACTCCTGCCTTAATTCCTTACAATTCCAAATAGGCAGTTTCTTTTGCTGCTGTTGACACAACTGCATATGTTCTTTTCTCTATATTTTAA